GCTGATTGGCATCCCAAAGCTGATTGGCATCCCAAAGACTCAATAAATGTGGAGACACACTGGTGTCTCTCTGCTTGTACGTTTACATTTCAGTCCACCTACATATTGGACCATTTTCATTTCTGAACTTCCACCACTCCAAGTATTTCCTCATGCACTTGATTTCTTGGAGTGCTTCAGTAAACCAAGAAGCATCCCTGCACCAGCTTAGCAAGAGAGGTTGAGGGAGTAGCCCTCTCAAGCACTATTGTGGTCTCCCTATCCATAGCAATTCACCAGGAAAATTCACAGCTCCCATGTTACATTCACACAAATAGTGCAGTGCAAAGGATCGTTCTCCCTTGCTAGGCACCCAAACTAAGCTCAGCACAAGGCATAAAGTTTGCTGGCCCCCAGTGCCAACATGAGCTATGCTGCCAGTTGCTAACTCATTTTGTGCCTTTATTATATCTCTTCTGAGTCATTGATGAATGGTATTCTCCACTTGCTGTTGAAAAAATGATTGATTTTCCCTTGATTATGCTGCCTCCCCTGCCAACATGCTACCAGTCAGCAGAGATAACATCTACAGTCAGAATGAATGGGAAGGTCTGACTTCAAGGTTTCTCCCAGTTTCTCCAGGCTGCTTGGACTTCCACACCCGATCTGGGCATTGCCCAAATTAAAATAAATGTGAAGTGCAGAAACATGCGAGACGAGACCATAGTCTGCAACTAGCTGTGTCCGACAAAATAAGAGAAAAAAAGTTTTTTCTAGCTGGTAGGCAACCATCTCTCATACAATGGGTGAAGGGAATGATCAAAACCGATGAATAGTGAGAATCACAAATACATGTCTTCTTTTTCTTTACATTAAGCTATTTTATCCCAAATAAAATTTATCCCTGTGGAGAAGCTGATACAAAAAAGAGAACAGGGTGGAAATGACAGACAAGAAAAGAACTTGGGAAACAAGCAAAATTTGGAAAAGGAGCAGTGACCAAAGGACAGGGTGTGCTTACAAGTCACAGAGGTCAAAGAAGCCAAATTTATTACTGGTCACCTGTTTTTGTCTCCAAAACAACAGTTGGCAGATTTTTTTACATCTTTTTACATCATTGTTAGAACTGGAATAAAGAGGCAAATGTTACTTCGATACCAAGTACAGTTAATGATGATTTAAGTATTCCTCATTTATGGGCTGAGGACAAGATATGAAACGATTTTACAGAGGTTGGGGGGGAGGCTATTTTGGCTAATAAGCTATCTTTATACCCTGATTAAGTGCACACAGGGGTAGGTTTTTAAACTGAATTTCTGCAGAGAAAAATAGAGTTCAGAAGGGTTTTAATCGCTTTTCAAACACTGTAGTGCATATTAAAATGAGTTCCCGGCAGCTGCAGTAAAAGTGTATTTTAAAAAATGAAATGTGTGAAAGAGGATTATGATTTTCCACGACTCATCTGCTTCACAACAGTCAATTTTTAGAAATATCTTTGGCCAGTCTGAATATTCCTGGCTTATTTTTCAACTTTACATAATTGACAAATATCCATAATTACTGTAACTTTAAGTTTATTCATGAAACTGAACAACAATGTAATGGCTGCCATCCTTTATCTTTTATGGAATGTAATATAATTGCACCCTGCTGGAACAATCTGCTTGTAGAAAGGAAGTACCTTCTCAGCATCAGATTTAAAATCAACTGGGAACAATCCAAACCCGTTGAAATGCCACCCCACTCTTTCCAGGCAGACCTAAAACCATCCCACTCAATTCTAAGAAAGGTAACCAAGCCTTCCCCCTCTCCCCCGCCACATCCCCATTCCACTCTCCAATGTGGCTTTCTTTTCTCAAAAGTAAAACTCTTTGACTTCCTCTTCTCCCTCGTTACCAGTGTTGTCAAACACTGGCATTCGCAGCCAAAACTTTTGTCGCTCCAGCAACATTGCATCACCCTGGGCTTTGGTCCAAGGCTGCTTTCTGGAGAAGCTGATGCAAGGCCTCAATTCACCGTGTCCTCATTGTCAGCCTAGTCTTCCCTCGAGAGGTTTTGCTCTGCAGCCCCGGCTTCCCACGTCAGATTTTCCTCCACATAATCTTTAAAAAAGTAAAATCTGTCTCTCTCCTGAAAGCCGAAGCCAAGACCAGACATCTGTGCTTGTGTTTGATGAGGCATCTCCTCCGATCCAGCCTGAGGCGGAGGAGGGAAAAACTTTACTTCCTCCATTAATTATGTCTGTGGTGGGTCAGTGGCACTAAGCAAGAGCAAAGGCAAAAGTCTTTCCCAGCTTCAAAACTTTTCCTGTTCACATATTTTAATTTCAAGGAGAACATGTGTTTAAAAAACAATTAATAAACTTCTCTAAGAGTTTTTATGGTGTTTCCTCTTGATATGTAAGGAACCATAAAGAACAGAAGGATGAAAAAGTGGCTTCATTAGAGCTGATTTATAGCTTAATACCTAAATAAGAAAATCCTGTTGATAAGCTTTTCCAATAATAATATTGGCTGAAATCCACCAGGAAGTAGTCCCATGCCAGCTAATATTAGTGGAACCTTAGAATGGATAATCCCATATGGGATTCTGGCCAGGGATGAAATTCAGCAGGTTCTGACAGGTTCTGTAGAACCGGTAGCGGAAATTTTTAGTAGTTCGGAGAACCGGAAAATACCACCTCTGTCTGGCCCCCGAGTGGGGTGGGAATGGAGATTTTGCAGTATCCTTCCCCTGCCACACCCACCAAGCCACGTCCATAGAACCGGTAGTAAAAAAATTTGAATTCCACCACTGATTCTGGCACTTGTTGTACTTTAGGCTACTTAAAGAGTTATTTAAGTATTGCTTTGAACGATATAGCTACATCATCCACTGCTTTTTAGGACTCATTTTCAGGATGGACCAATGGTTCCAGACTAGTGGTTATCAACTACCCTTTTTCTGGACATGACCTTCTGTTGAGGGAAAGAAGAAAAAAGATTGTCCAGCACAGGCATCTGTGTAAACTGAAGGCAAATTCTACAATGATGTGAAGATGGTAGGAGTTGCCTCATCACCAGGCACTGAAAAGCCCAGTGTTTGGACCTAAGAATAGGCTTTGATACCATTTTTCCATCCTCTCTTCCAAACACTGCTGGATGACTAGGCATAGCTTCTATTTAATCAGGCCACAATAGGAATTTAAAGTGGTAGCAAGGCACAACACCGACCCTACCATTAGACAGTGTGGTATCTGTAGCAGTCAGCAGATGTTGGATGTCCTGAAAGAGCAGCTAATTGGTAATTATTGTTACTGCTTTTTAACTGGTAGGAGAACTGCTGTGGGATTAGGTCTCAGGGCCCCAAAATAACTGTGTTGGATATTATGCCAGGCCAGCAGGGAGGACACTGTTTCAACTCAGGCAACCAGTGTTTTGGGGGTAGTCCTAAGCATAGACAGTCAGTTTAGTGTTGTGGTTGAGGCACCAGATTAAAAACCAGGAGACCAAGAATTCTAGTCCCTCACGAAGCCAGCTAGATAATCTTGGGCCAGTCGCTGCTTCTCAACCCTAGGAAGCAGGCAATGGCAAACAGTTTCTGAAAATCTTGTCAGAAAACTAGACGGACTAGGCAGTGGCCAGGAGTTATCCATGACTTGAAGACGCATATTGTACTGTACACTGTGCCATCTTCCAATCTTAAGTAAGGTCACGATGGGGACCTACTGGCCCCAAGTCTAGCCAACCTGAAGCTAACCATGGCATACGTGGTTTAGCAGAAGCCGGTTCTTATAATTGGTACCGGTAGTCTTTGACCTACGATCACAATTGAGCTCCAAATTTCTGTTATTAAGTGAGACATTTGAATTTTGCCCCATTTTATGACATTTCTTGCCACAGTTATTAAGTGAATCTCTGCCATTGTGAAGTTAGTAACCTGGCTGTTGAGTGAATCTGGGTTTCTCATTGACTTTGCTTGTCAGAAGGTCGCAAAAGGTGATCACATGACCCAGGGGACACAGCAATCGTGGTAAACATGAACCAGCTGCCGAGCATCTGAATTTTGATCATGTGACCACTGGGATGTGGCAAAAGTTGTTTTACTGTGAAAAACGGTCACAAAAATCACTTTTTTTTAAACCACTGTTGTAACTTTGAATGGTTCACTAAAGGAACCGTTGTAAATCTACTACTTGGTTTTTTCAGCTGTGGCTTTTGAGTCTGGATCGATTAAGAGGCAGATCCGATCTGCCCCCTTCCAGCTGTTGCACGCAGAGCTTAGGACTCCCGTTTCCGAATAATAACCCTCGCAGGGGGTGGGAGTCGCGCGTGGTATCCGCGCCACGCTACGCTTCGGTTTGACCCGCACTCGGCGGAAAGAAAAAAGGCGAGCGAATTGGGAGACGCGCCAGTTGCTCGACTAGGAGACGGGACTGGGTGTCTCCGAAGCGGGAAAGATCGCCTGGTTTCCTCCGGAAAACCACTTCGTTGAGTTTTCTTGCAAAGAAACTGGGAGAAGTTAACTTTAAGCTCCCCCAGCTTCGCGGGAAACCTACGACTGAGGGGAGAAAAAAGCCAGCATCCCGGCGGTCTTTTCCGCCCACACCCTCTTTCTCCAGTAAAGCGAGCAAACTAATCTATTATTTTTTTCTCGGCCGGTTGCGTCACGGCCTTTTTTTATTTTTAAAGCCTGCCTCTGCCAAAATCGATAGCCTGCCAACATCTGATCGAGAAAACTCCCCGTCTAGCACCTCCCCTGCCACGAGAATCGGACGGACTACAGAGTCCAGGGAGCGGGACGCGTTCGCTTCTCTGCCCCCCACCCACATTCCCCCTCACTTTTCTTTTTTCTTCCACGTGTTGAAAACCTCGGATGGGGGGGGGGGAGAAAGAAGCTTGGAGTCCAAACCCCCCGCCCCTTTTCGTGTGAGATATATGTATGTATATATGTATGTATGTATGTATATAAAATATATATATTATATATAATATATATAAATTCAGCCCCAATTCTTCGCTCTGCCTCCCAAACATTCAGGAAGATCCCAAAAGAAAAGAGAGAGAGAGAGAGAGAGAGAGAGAGAGAGGAAGGAAGAAGCGTCAAAGCCACAAGATGCAACGCAACGCCACCCTGCGAGCAAAAAGCCTGTCCCCTTCGGCCTGAAAAGCAGAAGCCCGTCTGGTTTGCCCGACAGCTCCTCTGCCCCAGCCCGCGCTTGTGACTAGCAAGCGGTGGCGGCAAAAAAAGCGACTGTAGTCAGGGAGAGGAGGCGGCGGCGGAGGAGGAGGAGGAGGAGGAAGACGGCTGAGCCCTCCCCTCCCTGTTTTTTGCCTGGGCGAAGAATGCCGGAGGCGCCTGTGGCCGCCCTGCGCGGAGCTTGAAGGCAGCGCCTTGTGCCGTCGACGCCCAGCTTCGACCATGGTGGCTCCCTTTTCCTGACGCCGAGCGGCTTTTTGGCGAAGGACGGAGGAGGCTTTCCGCCGTCCCCCTCGCAGCGGGCTGGTATGCGCGGGCAGCGGCGGGATGGCCTCGGCTGTGTTTGAGGGCACCTCGCTGGTGAACATGTACGTGCGGGGCTGCTGGGTGAACGGCATCCGGAGGCTGATCGTCAACCGACGCGGGGACGAGGAGGAGTTCTTTGAGATCCGAACCGAGTGGTCGGACCGGAACGTCCTTTACTTGCACCGCAGCTACTCGGACTTGGGCCGCCTCTTCAAGCGCCTGCTGGACTCTTTCCCGGAGGATCGCCCAGAGCTGTCACAGTCCCCCTTCCTCCAAGGTTTGCCGGCCGCCTCGTTTTCTGACTTTCTTTCCCCCCCCCCGCCCCCCTCCATCCTCTGCCCACTTGGCGAATCGTCGCTAAGGCGAGAGGAAGTTCCCTGAGAAGGAGCTGCGCTTCCTTCCCGCCACAGTTGAAGGATTGGGGTGGGGTGTGGGGGAACTTTTCGCCTCCTATTAAACCTGTTTGCTGCCGAAGCCTAAATAGACCCGACGTTTTCTCTGAATCCTTCCTTGTAGTAGAGGAAGGCAACCAGGATAGGGCAGAGTGTCTATAAGCCGGTTTCTAACAGAACAGACAGAACAGAACAGAAGATTTGGAAAGGACCTAGGAGGTCATCTAGACCAACCCCCTACTCAGGCAGGAAGCCCTATACTATACCATTTCAAACATACACTCAGAACTGATCCTGGTCTCAGTCAGTCCTTGACCTTCATGATCAAAAGAATGTCTCTGGGCATACTAAAAGCGCCTCCCCCCAAGGGTTCGCCACAAAAATGGGAATTTGAAATACTTATGATAATTCTTTTTCTGCTAATGACCGGGAGTGAGAAGAGAGAGGATGGGAACTGAGAGAGAGGATGGGAATGAATGGGGCATAATATTTTTTTCCTTAGCCGTGAAGGAGGACTGTAGGAATAGAGGGGGGGGGGGCAGAGAGCCACGTGGCTGGTCAGCTCCACCCGAGACCTTGAGTTCAGCTCTTGAGACAGAGAAGTCCTGTGTGGGTCTTTCTGAATGGAGGCTTCTGTGGGTGTTGAAAATGGTTGGCCTGTTGCACTGCCCTTTAATTCTGAGGATTGTACAGATACATTCCTAAAATGAAACTTTACTATAGTTATGGTTGTTGTTGTATGGGGAGTTGTGATGTAATGTGCATTTATTTGGATTTTCTGACTTTTGGCATGGGGTTCCCACCTTTTATCAATGCACCTTAAATTTCAACCTCATAACTGGTAGGGATGCTGATAACAGGAAAACAGCAAAGAAATAGCCTCATAACACATTTTGTTTTATGGATACCAATTACTGGTTGTTGATAGAAGTGAGTTGTGCTTGTTCTTTGGACTCTCAGTAATCACCTCTGTGTGTAGCTGGTATGAGTGCTGGACATCCTAATTGGTCAAATGTTTACCTACACAAGTAGCTAAACAGTTATTGCAGCAGAATAAGTGAAGCAAGCTATGATACTCAAATTAAGTGACATTAATCCAGGAATCCATGATAGCAAAGTGAAAGGACAGATGATCCTTCTGAGCCTCCCAGAATTGCCCTGTGCCAGCCAGGTTGCTTGAACAGTGAGCTGGGCAGCATATAAATTTAATAAATATAGAAAATGAACTTTTTATCCCTTCCAGCCTTAGTCTGCTCCTTCAGATTTTTAAATTACTACATTGACTCAAATCACTTATTGGACACCTTGAAACATACATTAAAATACCCTATTTCCTCCAAAACAAGACATCCCCTGATAATTAGCCAATCAGGCTTTTGAGCGCATGGCAATAAGGCCAAGCACTTATTTCAGGGTTCAAAAAAATATAAGAAAGCGTCTTACTTGGGGGGAAACACGATAGATGCTTTAAAATAGTACAGTTTGTAAGAAATGTGCTGTCACCAACCAGCTTTTCCATGTTGTTTCAAGATTATAAGTGTTGCAGGGACTGAATTTACCTGGGTTTGCAAAGGGAATCCTATAATTATAATGCAGCTCCCAGGAATACCCTTCATTCATTATAAGAAACAAAAGTTGAAACAAAAATGACTCAGGTGGAATGACAGAGCAGATCCTCAGAACCAACTTATCCTTGTGATAAACTGATTCTCTGTTCGAAATCAAATAATCATCTAGGTAATTATTGAAGATAATCCCCGAAAAACACTTGTCACAAAGGGAAATTAAGGGCTACAGTTTTGTATTCCTGACTCTGTAATACAGATGTAATCACCACATTGGCAAGTTTTACATTTGATATTCATATGATTCATCCATTTCTCCATCCATCATGTATGCATCTATTCAAGTCAAATATGTGTTTCTCACATTTAATTTGATGTGTAAAATATGTTCTAACAAAGAGCTTTTGAGTCCCAGCTATTTGGTAACATTTGTAAGAGTCAAATGTTTAAATGCATTTAAAACACTTTGAAAATGTAAGCATCCTATATTATATATATATATATTTATTCCTGTTATCATAACACTTCTCTTCATTGGATGATATTCCCAGCCCAAGGTATATTTTAAAAAACTCTTTTTTATTCATTTTGGAGTTGATTTTAACTGAAATAAAAGAAACATAATTAAAGAAAAAAGGATTAAGGATTTTTCCAAAAGATGTAGTTTGCTTTTAATAATGAAATGCAAAGAAGCTCAAGAAAAGAAAAATGATAGTGGTATACAGTAAAGAAAAAAATCCTATATTTATCTAAATGTGACAAAAAGAAGAAAAAAGGCTAACTGACAAAAAGTAGAGAAAACATGTATAATATCCATTGTTGATGTAAAATTAAACTTAAATATAGACCCCTTTCTGCAACGTTTTCTCTCCATTTCATTGTTCCTCCCAAATTGTAGCCTCAGTTACACTTGTGTTTTATGATAATTGTTTTTAAGAAGAAGAATGAAATGCTACGTTGTGGAAGGCCTTGCTTGTTCCTTGTGTAGCTTTGCATGGGGTCATGTATAAGATGGCAAGTGGATGGCCGTAAGAACAAGCAGTGCAGTCAAGTCACGTTAAAATCCTTGGCAGGCAGTTTTGTTGTTAATTCTGTGGTTGTACTTTGGCTCTGATTGCTGGGAAACTGAACGGGGTACTCAGGCTCTATGTACACAGACAGTACATAGTTGCTGCTGAAACCGCTGAATAGATAGATATAGAGGGAGAAAAATGGATGAAGTCCTCTGTTTCAGCAACTCTGTGGACTGATCTCCTGGCTAGGTAGCATAAAATCACAGCTGAGAGCCTCGTAGCTAGTTCTCTGCTCTGGGCTACCATCCTTAGTGAAATTTGAGCATTTGTGGTCAGGCTGTAAATGCATCGTAATCCTCATAAGGAATAAAGCATCTTGACAACACTGATTTCATACTGATATAGATAGTTCAAGTAATATTTCTCAGGCCACTAAGTAAAGCACTTGTGATGTGACTGGATTCATACGTTTTTCTTTTTCTGGTTGGAGAAGTAGTCTCAGATTTGGAAGTCTGGATAGCAGCCCAAATAATAGCTTGCTGAATGTTGCAAAGCCTTTTGAGTTGGCAAGTATATGATGGCCAGAAGATATAACTTACAAGTATATCACATCTTCTCTAGTTGGTTGATGATCACAGTTTATTAAAGGATTAAATTAGCTAAGGGCAGAATTCACACACTGTACTTCCTTTGGTCAACAGAACATCCTTTGAGCTTCCTTTGGTCAGTAAAATTAGAAACCAGTTGACCACAATATATTTGAATGGTGTCACTGTCAAGCTTATTATGTATGGTAACAATTTAGAAATTGATCTTCCCTCAGAGTTCCTTTAATCACGCAATCTATAGAGTACAATTACTAAGCAAATGGGTGAACTTCATAACGTTATTATCATAAATAAACCAGGGTTAAAGCTAATCAAGCTTAGCATACTATGCATAAGCTCCTGACTTTTGGGACTTTTGGGATGAAGGGAGGGGAAAGGAAGATATTGTATAGGTAAGGAACTAATTCATATCATCCGGATACTCATTTATGTCATCATTGTCAGATTGAAGTTCTGAATTGCACTGTTCGGAACTACAGTTCTTCTCAATAGAAGATTAAGTACATAAGGCTAGAAGATCATGCTTTTGGTGGCCTCATCAGAAGATTTCCAAGAACATTTGATTTTCCGATGAGGCCACCGGGAGAATGAGCTAGCCTTATGTACTAAGTATTTATCAGAAATCAGCTGGGTATGCAATAGCATTTCCCATCATTCTTCTTTGTGCATGCCCTTATAGCATCATCAAAGGCTTTTAAAGACCAGCGCATAAATAAGCATTATCACATAATGATAATTATGTGACACTTCCTGGCATCATGACTCTTTCTAGATGGTATCCCCAAAACGCATTGTTTCATTTTTAAGCTTATGTAACCAAAAAAAAAAAAAAAAAGATAGAAGTATTCTGTCTCAGGCCACACATATGCAACCCCTAGAGAGGTTTGCAAATTTTACTAGAAAGTTTTTAAGCAAATAAACAAGCAGCCAAGGAATTGTGTGTGCAAGCATGCACAGACAAGAAAAATCAAGTCCCCCAAAGTCCAGGAAGCTTGCCTTGAGAAAGGGTCCAAATCAAAAACAGCAGGCACAAGAACCAGATAGGGTCATCAGCCGGTCCAGGTCCAGAGTCACAAACATGAACAAAAGTTCAAGTTGTAGGTCAAGAAATGGTTGTCACCATTGGGAAAGGCTTGAGCTCCCTGCTCTTCTTAAATAGAAGCAACCCCATGTTGGTCATTTGGAAGATTGAGGTTCCTTTCTAGCAAAGAGCCTTGGAAAGCACCTTTGCTCTGCTCACCTCACAATGATTCCTTGCACTGGGAGGGAGTGGCAGCATTCAACTCATCTGGGGGCAGCTGGGTCTCTTGGTTACTGCGGCCACTGTGGCACAATCTCCTCTGCCCAGTCTCCTCCTCCTCAGGCAGGGTTTTGTCCAGCAATTCAGAAACTGGCTTCTCTTTTTTGATTTCCTTGTCAGAATCTGAGTTGACAATGACACATAGGATTGACCAAGAACACAAGATTTCAAATGAACGGGAAATTTTGCAAGATTTAGCTTTTATTTCATTTTTTGCGAACCACTTTTGTCTAGTGGTTAAAGCATGAGATTAGGCAGGAAACCTGTGAGTTCTAGTTCCGCCTTAGGGATGAAAGCTGTCTGGGTGCCTCACAGCCCATGAAATCAAGCATAGGTGACAACCTGGTCAGTCAATTCCTGACACAAGCAATCAATCGATACTCAGTTGATCTCCCTCCC